TTTTTTTTTTTTTGAGACAAGGTCTTATTCTGTTGCCCAGGCCAGAGTATAGTGACCTCAACACAGCTCACTGCAACCTCAAACTCCTGGGCTCAAGTCAGCCTCCTTCCTCAGCCTCCCAAGTAGCTGGGACTAGAGTCATGTACCTGGCTCTAGTACCATATGCGGCTAATTTTTTTGTAGAGGTCAGATCTCAATGTGTTGTCCAGGTCTCAAACTCCTGGCCTTAAGCAATCTTCCTGCCTTGGCCTCCCAAACTGCTGGATTACAGGCATAAGCCACTGTACCTTACCAATACTGAATATTGGTTAAGTATTGTATTATATTAAGAAATTAGGCTGGGCACAGTGGCTCATGCCTGTAATCCTAGCACTCTAGGAGGATGAGGCCGGTGGACTTTCTGAGCTCACAGGTTCGAGACCACCCTGAGCCAAAGCAAGACCCCGCCTCTAAAAATAGCTGCTGGGCATTGTGGTGGGCACCTGTAGTCCCAGCTACTTGGGAGGCTGAGGCAAGAGGATCACTTAAGCCCAAGAATTTGCTGTGAGCTATGATGCCACGGTACTCTACCAAGGGCAACAAAGTGAGACTCTGTCTCAAAAAAAAAAACATTACTTTTTTTTTTTGATATAATAATATTATAGTATTGTCCGTTAAAAAGAATCTTTATTTCTAAGAGATACATTCTAACTTATCTATAGATGAAATGCTAGACAGTCTGAGATTTGCTTTAAAATAATCTAGTGGAGGCTCAGCACCTGTGGCTCAAGCAGCTAAGGTGCCAGCCACATACACCTGAGCTGGAGGGTTGGAATCCAGCCCAGGCCTGCCAAACAACAATGATGGCTGCAACCAAAAAATAGCCAGGCATTGTGGTGGCCTGTAGTCCCAGCTATTTGGGAGGTGAAGGCAGGAGAATTGCTTGCTCCCAGGAGTTGGAGGTTGCTGTGAGCTGTGATGCCATTGCACTTACCCACGGCAACAGCTTGGGCTCTGTCTCAAAAAAAATTAATAAAATAAAATAAAATAATCTAGTGGGAAATTAAAAGGAGAAGGAGTCCACAGCTAAATAAAAACTGGCTATATGTTGATAATTTGCCAAAACAATCACCATGGAAGCTGGTGATAAGTACTGGGGCAGGGCAGGGGGGTTATTACAATATTTATCCTTCCTCTTTACTTTTGAATATATTTTATATACTCCATAACAAAAGTTATTCTTTTATTTTTAAGTAGGTATCTATAAGATGATGCCTACCCAACTTCAAAATACTATGAAATTCAAGATATAGGTCAACAGTAGTGTTTATATAACACTTTTAGAACTACAATCACGTCAAAATTAATCTGGTCACAAAAGACCACATACTGTATGATTCCATTTATATGAAATGTCCAGAACAAGCAAAACTATAGAGACAGAAAATAGATTAGTAGCTGCCTGGGGCTGGAGAGAAGAGGAGAAGAAAATGGGGAGTGACTGCTAATGGGTATAGGGTTTCTTTTGGGCGTAATAAGAACATTGTAAACCTGATTTTGTAGTTTACCAACTACAAAAATACAGTAAAAATCATTGTACAATTTAAATAGGTATGCATAAAAGATAGAGTAAGTAAATTATATATCAACAAAGTATTTATTTATTTATTTATTTATTT